GCCACTGCGTATTTCAATCTGTCATAGATTTTAACAGGTGGCTGTCAATATGGCTGGACTCTGCACCTGTGCCTTGGGGGTGCCTGAAAACACTTGGGTTTGAAACTGATGGGCCAAACCACCTGTGTATGAGGTCTAAGCCTCATTTTGTGCTATATTACATGTAAATGTGTGTAAAGACAGTTTAACCGAGGAAAAGATCTAAACACAAGAAAGAGTGATCTGGGAAGCACAATAATTGTTTATACTTCCCAGACAATGTTTCCAACGCAGGTGGCTCATATGCAGGAGGATTTAAAGGGTTTGTTTGCTGGCAATTTTCAGAGGTTTTTATGCACACTAAAATTACTTAAGGAGGTAATGATTTTCACATCAAGTACAATTACTGGAAAGCACATATATTCACTGAAAAGAAACATGTTTAATCATTGGCAAAGACATCCATAATATCACAAACAATGACCTCGAAATATGTTTATTGTTGTACAAAATAAACTCTCTGTAACATGCAGCCCACTCATGGTGATGACCTTTTTTGGAGGCCTACTCAAAAAGAGTGACAAAGAAGCTCACAGAATACTGTAATAAAAATATTCACGCTCTAATATTGTTGTAAGGCATCTGCACCAAGTAAACAGACACTATTAAAGAGCAACTCTAGGCACATGGTGCAATCAATCAGTCATCAGAGAACCAGTGATCAGGGCACTCAGGTTCTCTCTCATCTTAATCTAAAATTTACATAATCCATTACAGATTCCACTATTCAGAAAACTTTCATTAAACTCTCAATTAAATCACATGGCCTTGGTGGGAAGGATTGAAAATGCCTATTCACGTGGTTCAAGAGCTGATATCTTTAAAGCATCAGATAATGAGCAACTTTTAAAGTTAATTTTAACAACTTTAACACCAGAGCTATTCTGATACTTCTCACATTAATTTAACAATCAGCATTTAATTTACTTAGAACCCCCGAACATTATATATATATATATATATATATATATATATATACTATGTTGACAAAAGTATTGGGATGCCTGCCTTTACACGCACATGAACTTTAGTGGCATCAGAGTCTTAGTCTGTAGGGTTCAATATTGAGTTGGCCCACCCTTTGCAGCTTTAACGGCTTCAACTCTTCTGGGAAGGCTGTCCAGAAGGTTTAGGAGTGTGTCTATGGGAATGTTTGACCATTCTTGCAGAAGTGCATTTGTGAGGTCAGGCACTAATGTCGGACAAGAAGGCCTGGCTCGCAGTCTCAGATCAAATTCATTCCAAAGATGTTCTATCGGGTTGAGGTCAGTCAAGTTCCTCCACCCCAAACTCATTCATGCATGTCTTTATGGACCTTGCTTTGTGTAGTGGTGCGCAGTCATGTTGGAACAGGAAGGGAGCATGAAAATGTCCAAAATGTCTTGGTATGTTGACACCTTAAGAGTTCCCTTCACTGGAACTAAGGGTCCAACCCCAACCCCTGAAAAACAACCCCACATCATAATCCATCCTCCACCAAACTTTGCACATGTACACAATGCAGTCATTCTCCTGGCAACCGCCAAACCGAGTCATGCCAATCTCATTGCCAGACAGAGAAGCGTGATTCATCATTCCAGAGAACACATCTCCACTGCTCTAGAGTCAAGTGGCAGCGTGCTTTACACCACTGCATCCACCAATTTGCATTGCAGTTGGTGATGTAAGGCTTGGATGCAGCTGCTCAGCCATGGAAACCCATTCCATGAAGCTCTCTATGCACTGTTATTGTGCTAATCTGAAGGCCACATGAAGTTGGGAGTTCTTTAGCTATTGACTGTGCAGACAGTTGGTGACTTCTTCTCACTGTGCGCTTCAGCATGCGCACATCCAAAATTTGCAGTTTTTCACAATTTGAAGGTGCTCTACAAATGTAACCCCCCACAAATGTCGGGGTTTGACTGTACTGCTTACTGTATATACACTCCCTGGCCACTTTATTAAGAACACCTTGCTAGTGCCAAGAAAATATCCTCCATACCATTACACCACCAGCCTGAACTGATTCAAGGCAGGATGGATCCATGCTTTCATGTTGTTTACGCCTAATTCTGACCCTACCATATGAACGTCGCAGCAACCAATCTGCCCATTCACCTCTGACCCCTGGCATCAACAAGGCATTTTCATCCACACAACTGCTCACTGGATATTTTCTCTTTTTCAGACAATTTTCTGTAAACCCTAAAAATGGTTGTGCGTGAAAATTCCAGTAGATTAGCAGTTTTTGAAACACTCAGACCAGCCCATCTGGCACTACCATGGCATGGCACTATGCCATGTTCAAAGTCACATAAATCCTTTCTTCCCCATTCTAAATGTAATCCACTGAACTTTTACTGATTGCAGGATGTTAGTTAGCCACAAAATGGCAGTTTTCTGCAGTTTAGCTATTACAGACTCCTGTATAGCAAAGCTAAGCATTGTGGGACTTGTATGCTGCCAGCAGGATTTCTTCTCTCAGGCAAGCTGGAAATTAACTTTATTTCCCAGAAGAGCTGGTAAATGGGTAGGAACCTATCAAAGGGAAAACCCAGGAACATTCCGAGAAAGAGGAGGAGACTGTGAGAGAGTGAGGACAGAAGGAGTTGGCAGTGCGATTCAAGGAGGATACAGGCCAGAGCAAGTGGTGCTGAAGAGCCCAGATCACTGATCATTCTGAGAGGCAGGAGAGTGGTCTCTTTAGACAGATGGTCCAGGTTATTGCCAACAGCACGACATCATCTGGGATAAAACAGAGAGGAAAGGAGCACCCCCCCCAACCATGAGGTCATTGCATCAGCTGCTACACTGATGGATTGGGTGATAGAGACTTCTTAACTCACACCACAGCACCTGTTCATATCTTTGTTGCTGCTAATTGCTTAAGCTCAAGATTCTCTGCAGTACTGATTGCCTCATTAAGATACCAACTAGAGATGAGCGAATTTCTCAAAAATTCGATTCGGCTGATTCGGCGAATTCCAGTGTGAAATTCGATTCGATGCGAATTTCTTCGCTACGAAGATGACTTATAAAAAGGGTTTCTAGGCTTCAGAGAGCCTTTAAATTAGTGCAGAACACTGTACCTTTAATTTAAATGCCCTTGGAGATGAGGAAAGAGAAGAGAAGGAGAAGGAGAAGGATGAGAAGAAGGAGAAGGATGAGAAGAAGGAGAAGGAGAAGGATGAGAAGAAGGAGAAGGAGAAGGATGAGAAGAAGGAGAAGGAGAAGGATGAGAAGAAGGAGAAGGGAGAAGGAGAAGAAGAAGGAGAAGGATGAGGAGAGAAGGATGAGAAGAAGGATGAAGGAGAAGGATGAGAAGAAGGAGAAGGATGAGAAATGAGAAGATGAGAGGAGAAGGAGAGAAGGAGAAGGAGAAGGAGAAGGAGAAGAAGAAGGATGAGAAGAAGGAGAAGGATGAGAAGAAGGATGAGAAGAAGGAGAAGGATGAGAAGAAGAGAGAAGGATGAGAAGAAGGATGAGAAGAAGGAGAAGGATGAGAAGAAGGAGAAGGAGAAGGATGAGAAGAAGGAGAAGGAGAAGGATGAGAAGAAGGAGAAGGATGAGAAGAAGGAGAGAGGAGAAGGATGAGAAGAAGGAGAAGGAGAAGGATGAGAAGAAGGAGAAGGATGAGAAGAAGGATGAGAAGAAGGAGAAGGATGAGAAGAAGGAGAAGGAGAAGGATGAGAAGAAGGAGAAGGATGAGAAGAAGGAGAAGGATGAGAAGAAGGATGAGAAGAAGAAGGAGAAGGATGAGAAGAAGGAGAAGGATGAGAGAAGGAGAAGGATGAGAAGGAGAAGGATGAGAAGACGGAGAAGGAGAAGAAGGAGAAGGAGAAGGATGAGAAGAAGGAGAAGGAGAGGATGAGAAGAGAAGGAGAAGGAGAAGGATGAGAAGATGGAGAAAGAGAAGGATGAGAAGAAGGAGAAGGAGAAGGATGAGAAGAAGGAGAAGGATGAGAAGAAGGATGAGAAGATGAGAAGAAGGATGAAGAAGAAGGAGAAGGAGAGGAAGAGGAGAAGGAGAAGGATGAGAAGAAGGAGAAGGATGAGAAGAAGGAGAAGGATGAGAAGAAGGAGAAGGATGAGAAGAAGGAGAAGGATGAGAAGAAGGAGAGAAGGAGAGAAGGATGAGAAGAAGAGAAGGAGAAGGATGAGAAGAAGGAGAAGGAGAAGGATGAGAAGAAGGAGAAGGAGAAGGAAGAGAAGAAGGAGAAGGATGAGAGAAGGAGAAGGATGAGAAGAAGGAGAAGGATGAGAAGAAGGAGAAGGAGAAGGATGAGAAGAAGGAGAAGGAGAAGGATGAGGAGAAGGAGAAGGAGAAGAAGAGAAGAAGGAGAAGGATGAGAAGAAGGAGAAGGAGAAGGATGAGAAGAAGGAGAAGGATGAGAAGAAAGAAGGAGAAGGATGAGAAGAAGGAGAAGGAGAAGGATGAGAAGAGGAGAAGGAGAAGGATGAGAAGAAGGAGAGGAGAGAAGAAGATGAGAAGAAGGAGAAGGATGAGGAGAAGGAGAAGGATGAGAAGAAGGAGAAGGATGAGAAGAAGGAGAAGGATGAGAAGAAGGAGAAGGATGAGAAGAAGGAGAAGAAGGATGAGAAGAAGGAGAAGGATGAGAAGAAGGAGAAGGAGAAGGAGAAAGAAGGAGAAGGAGAGAAGAAGGAGAAGGAGAAGGATGAGAAGATGGAGAAGGAGAAGGATGAGAAGAAGGAGAAGGAGAAGGATGAGAAGAAGAGAAGGAGAAGGATGAGAAGAAGGAGAAGGAGAAGGATGAGAAGATGGAGAAGGAGAAGGATGAGAAGAAGGAGAAGGAGAAGGATGAGAAGAAGGAGAAAGGAGAAGGATGAGAAGAAGGAGAAGGAGAAGGATGAGAAGAGGAGAAGGAGAAGGATGAGAAGAAGGAGAAGGATGAGAAGAAGAGAGAGAGAAGGAGAAGGATGAGAAGAAGGAGAAGGAGAAGGATGAGAAGAAGGAGAAGGATGAGAAGAAGGAGAAGGATGAGAAGAAGGATGAGAAGAAGGATGAGAAGAAGGATGAGAAGAAGGAGAAGGATGAGAAGAAGGACAGTTCTGTGACAGTTTCTGTCTATTTCTGACAGTTCTGGGACATTCACTCCATACAGCTGTTTCAACCGCTGTATGGAGGGAATGTCATGGAACTGTCAGAAATAGACTATTAATGACAGTTCTGGGACTGTCCTTCCATGCAGCGGTTTCCCAGAACTGTCATTAATAGTCTATTTCTGACAGTTCTATGACATTCCCTCCATACAGCGGTTGAAACAGCTGTATGGATGTGAATGTCCCAGAACTGTCAGAAATAGACTATTAAGGACAGTTCTGGGACTGTCCTTCCATACAGAGCGGTTGAAACATTGTATGTATTTGTTTCCATAAATGGATCCATTTATGGAAACAAATACATACAATGTTTCAACCGCTGTATGGAAGGACAGTCCCAGAACTGTCATTAATAGTCTATTTCTGACAGTTCCATGACATCCCTCCATACATCGGTTGAAACAGCTGTATGGAGTTTGTCCCAGAACTGTCAGAAATAGTCCATATTTCTGAGGACAGTTCTGGGACATTCACTTCCATACATGGAATTATTCTTATTTCATCCTACTTCAACTTTTTCCGCTGTGAGGATGGATGGAAATGTCATGGAATGAAGAGTCCCCAAGAACTGGTCATTAATAGTCTATTCTGACAGTTCCATGACATTCCCTCCATACAGCGGTTGAAACCGCTGTATGGAGTGATTGTCCCAGAACTGTCATAGAATAGTCTATTTCTGACAGTTCTGGGACATTCACTCCATACAGCTGTTTTCAAACCGCTGTATGGAGGGAATGTCATGGAATGAACTGTCAGAAATAGACTATTAATGACAGTTCTGGGACTGTCCTTCCATACAGGCGGTTGAAACATTGTATGTATTTGTTTCCATAAATGGATCCATTATGGAAACAAATACATACAATGTTTCAACCGCTGTAGTATGGAAGGACAGTCCCAGAACTGTCATTAATAGTCTATTTCTGACAGTTCTATGACATTCCCTCCATACAGCGGTTGAAACAGCTGTATGGAGTGAATGTCCCAGAACTGTCAGAAATAGACTATTTATGACAGTTCTGGGACTGTCCTTCCATACAGCGGTTGAACATTGTATCTATTTTTTTCCATAATCCACTAACCATTCTGCAAATACACAATTAGAGAGCGCTGCAGATACACTTTTTGCCGGCTTGGAATTAATCTTATTTTCATCCTACTTCTTCTTCTTCATCTCCTCATCCTCATAAGAAGAAAAAGAAGAAGTATAGGATTCAATAAATAAGATAATTCCAAGCCGGCAAAAAGTGTATCTGCAGCGCTCCTCTAAGTGTATCTGCAGAATGTCATTTATGGAAAAAAATAGATACAATGTTTCAACCGCTGTATGGAGTGAATGTCCCAGAACTGTCATAAATAGTCTATTTCTGACAGTTCTGGGACATTCACTCCATACAGCTGTTACAAGAAACCGCTGAGGATCCATTTATAGAAACAAATAATACAATGTTTCAACCGCTGTATGGAGAAGAAGGAGAAGGAGTCCCAGAAGAAGGTCATTGAAACAGTAGTCTAGAAGGATCAGACAGAAAGGGAATGACATTCCTCCATACAGCGGTTGAAGGAAACAGCTGTAGGAGTGAATGTCCCAGAACTGTCAGAAATAGACTATTTTATGGACAGTTCTGGGACTGTCCTTCCATACAGCGGTTGAAACAGTGTATGTGTATCTATTTTTTTTTCCATAAATGACATGGATCTGCAAATACACTTAGATGGGAAGCGCTGCAGATACACTTTTTGCCCAGTCCGGCTTGGAATTAATCTTATTTTCATCCTACTTCTTCTTTTCATCCTCATTCCTCATAAGAAGAAAAAGAAGAAGTTAGGATGAAAAATAAGAAAATTCCAAGCCGGAAAAAGAAAGTGTATCTGCAGCGCTCCTCTAAGTGTATCTGCATCAGAAATAGACTATTAATGACAGTTCTGGGACTGTCCTTCCATACAGCGGTTGAAACATTGTATCTATTTGTTTCCATAAATGGATCCATTTATGGAAACAAATAGATACAAGTTTCAACCGCTGTATGGAAGGACAGTCCCAGAACTGTCATTAATAGTCTATTTCTGACAGTTCTATGACACATTCTGCAAATACACTTAGAGGAGCGCTGCAGATACACTTTTTGCCGCTTGGAATTAATCTTATTTTCATCCTACTATCTTCTTCTTCTTCATCCTCATCCTCTGAGGATAGGATGAAGAAAAAGAAGAAGAATAGGATGAAAATAAGATTAATTCCAAGCCGCAAAAGTGTTATCTGCAGCGCTCCTCTAAGTGATCTGCAGAATGTCATTTATGGAAAAAAATAATACAATGAGAGAGAGAATGGAACAATGTAACTCAACCTGTGCGTAGATTGTATAGAGTGCGACGAGTATACCGGGGGGGGTGAGAACTGATCCATAAATAGGTCCAATGTTCTGATGACAGGATGATCTGAGTGACATTGGGCCCTCCATACAAGCGGTATGGTGTGAATTGAGCATGTAATAGAGTGAGTGTGGACTTTCCCAGAAGCTGTCAGACGCGGTAGTACGCTATTTTAGGTGGGGACAGGTTCGAGGGGCGACATGTCACGTTCCGAGGACAGCGGATTGACATGTCTTAACGCATTAGTATACTATTTTCTATATTGCTCGCGGATAAGAATGACATCTCGGGGGTGCTGTTCTGCGATACACCTTACGAGGGAGGTCGGCGTGTTGCGAGTGATACAGCTTTATGTGCCGGCTTGGAAGTAATATTCTTATTTTCATCCTACTTCTTCTTTCTTCATCCTCATCCTCATAAGAAGAAAAGAAAGAAGTAAGGATGAAAATAAGAATAATTCCCCCCCAAGCCGTGCAAAAAAAGTGTATCTGCAGCGCTCCTCTAAAGTGTGGGTAGTGAAATCTTGCCAAGAATGTGTCCCCCATTTATGGAAAACAAAATAGATACAATGGTTTTTTTCAACCGCTGTATGGAGTTAGACATAGTTCCCAGAACAGTGTGCGGATTAAATAGTCGAGGTACCACTGTTCGGGGATAACAAGTTCCACCTCCATTACTAAGCTGACAGTTATCAACCGCTGTATGGGGAGGGACATGTCAGAGAACCTCCTTCACAGAACGGCTTGTTTGTTAATGTTATCAGTTCTGGGACTTATCCTCCAAAAAAATACACGGTTCCCAATAATCAAAAATATATGTCCATTTGTTTCCAAATGGAATCCATTTATGGAATACAACCTCTACGAATGTATCAACCACTTGGGTATGCGTAGGGGACAGTCCCAGAACTGGTCATAGAAACATTAGTCCCCTATGTCCCCAATGACAGTTAAAATAGACAGTCATCCCGGGATCCAACAGCGGGGTTGAAACATGTGTATGAGATCAATGTTTGAGAACTTCTATGAGCATCATTGGGACTCATTTTGACGTATGCCTGTGGGACAACATTCATACCTAATTAGGAAACATTGTTGTATGGTTTTATCATTTCCAAAATCTAACAGTCCCTGCTATACAGCGGACTAGGTATTTGAAACATAGGCGGGCAGATATGACACTGAATTTGTCAGTCTTGGACCATATCAACTGTTGAAGAGTATTTTTGGGACAAGATATCCTACTATCTTCGTTCTTGACGCAGTCGTTTCCTCGGTTCATAAAGCACTAGCCCAAAGGAAAAATAGACGGGTGATAGCAAACATGAATTGTTATCGATGGAGCACAGACGCGAGAGTGTATCTGCAGCCTCAGCATTGTGATTCTCCCAGCCATGGCATGACGAATAGGAAAAAAATATGATCACGCGATGTATCACACAGCATTTAAGTAAGGTCCATGCGACTGTCAGACAATGAGTCTAGTTCGTGACAGTTTGGGACATTCACTATTCCCGATAGCAGGAGTTATCAACCTGCACGTAAGTACTCGACTAATGACAAAGTACTGGTCAGACGAATAGACTATTATAAAGTTTAGCTCAGGATGCCTTAAACCATGACAGCGGGTTGAAAGAACGCTATGTAATATCTGCATGAGTTGATGGCTAATATCATAGCATGAATTAAATTAGTGGATCCAGTTTATGGAAACAAAATAGCACATATATTTATGTATATTCAAGCAGCTGGCTGTATGGAGAGAACCAGTCCGCTTAGAGACGTGTCATTTAGAGGAGCCCCATTGGGTCATGGACAGAGATGCCGTTTCCCCCGATTTCCCCTGAAGCGTACAATACAGAGCTAATAGTTTCCGCGGGGCAATGCAAGTGATGTGTCGGATTCCTCTATTCTGCACGATACACGACATGTTCAATGTTTGGAGCGTCTGCAGGACAGATCTTAAGGCGGAGCTGATGAGTACATACACTGACCATACTTGGAATATTCTGATTTGATCCTACAGCGTCAGTTCTACTAGGTTCATTCGAGCCTTCTTGCTTTTTTATTCATCGCTCAGTCTGGTCATAATGGATCCTATTTTATCTTCGTATATGAGGTATTTTCCTGATGGGATTGAGTAAGAAGATTATTTAATTCTTGATTTAGTTACAGAATGGACTGTAGAAAAAATAAAACTATTACAGCGGCTCTGAGAACAGTGAATCTCTATGTGCTAGATTCTCCTACTAATTGGATATGCTTTTCACGGAATAAAAATCTATAGTAAACAATGTTTCTGCACAATACCTTACTGCCTGAAAAAATGGAACAATGAGACAGCTAACCTTCATTTAGCCCAACTTTGCACTAATACAGATTCGTGTTTCTTGACCTATCCTTCTATCTTCATCCTCTCCCCCCGGGTTGCATATCATTCTGAATGGTCACCCCATTGTATGAATGTCCAGAAGTCAGCGATTAGGATTAGAATAGATCTTTAGTGAGGGTAGTCGATTTCTGCAGCATCCGAGTAGTTAAACGTCCATTACAGACATGCTGGTTATCTTGAATTTTACATGTATTTTTTTTTTTTCTCCATAAAATCAATACAAAACACCCTCGCTGATACATATAGAGGTAAGCATTGTCTAAAGAACTGCAGAAATAGTACACTTATTTTATGCGATCCCTTGGACATTTTATTCTTTTTTATCTTTCACCTATTCCTCTTCATGTCCTTCTTTCATCCTCTCCCTTACTGTAGGTATGGTGATTGAGGATAGGGTATTGAAGAAGGAATTGTTTAAAATTCTCTTCCTTGGACTCCTTCTTTCTAATAATTCCAAGTCTCCGGACTAAAGAATGTTTTTTTTTCTCGCCTCTCCCTTTCTTCTTTTCCCCTTTTGCCTAAATCACAGCTGTCTTCCCAATGTGATTAGCGGTTGTTTTCATCTAGTATCAAAATGTTCGATTTTGGGCCACTAAAAGAATATGTAAAGGTAATCTGGACGTCTCATGAGTACTGTTTCGCAAATAGGTACTATTTGCTTGTCCTCCCCTCTTTGTTCTTGAAGAAGCTTTCTACTTCTTCTTAAATTCTAGTCCACTCCTGCAACTTTTTACCTTCCTTTTACCCATGGCTGTTTAATTATCCTTTATTGGTTCTTCCTACCTACCCAATATGAATCACGCCTTAATGATCCCCTTTGTCTTTCAATTCCTGAAATCTGTCGTTCTTCTCTATGAGGATGGTGAGAGCAGGTTAAGAATATATTCTCCCGCCTAGTATGAGTGATCTTCCTCTAAGAATTATTCCATTCCCTATGCGAAAAAGTGTACTTGCATAGTTCCCTCTTTTCCAGAATCAACTTGTTTCCGTTCCTCCCTTACCTATTCATCCATTTTTGATCCTTTTCCCGGAATTTATCATTGATATGTCTTTTTCCATTTTGTACCGTTCTTACTTTTTCCTTCTTCCTTCCTTTACCCTACTTTTTTTGAGACTGAATTTTCCCCTTCTGTCAGAAATTTCCTATTCGCTTTTTTTTTAGGATTTGCATCCATGCCTTTTTCTCAATTTTCCGGTTCCCGGCAACACTAGTTTTTGTTCTTAACAGTGTTCTTTTCTTTTCCTGCGATATAACTAGCACATTTTCTGCTTTTGGATACTACTTTTTGACCGCTTGGGAGATTTAATTTTAATTTCTTTTTTGCCTAATGACTTCTAAGTTTATCGTCGTCTTACTTTCATCCTCAATTTTCTTAGCCTTTTTTTTTTGCTACTGAAGAGGTTTTTTTTGGGATGAGGATGTTTCAGATTTTTTTTTTTCAAGACGAAGATAGAGAGATTGCTTGATTTTTGGATCTTTTTAGGCGCATTTTTCCAAGCTTTGCATAAAGAAAGTTTACTTTTCAGTGAGCATTTTCTGGGATCAGTTCATCCTGCCAAGCTCGCATGCTAAGTTTTTATTGCAGAATAGTTTGGGAACTTTGGCAATGTCATAGAACTGTTTTGCCGTGGAAATTAGCTGTACGTATTTTAATGGACAAGTCAGGCTTCTGTCGAGTATTAGGATTCTTACCCCCGCGCCCCCCTAGTTGAGAGTGACAGTTTTGGGATTTTGTTTTGACGCGTTTTGTAGCGACATTGTTGTATTTGATTTCGCATAAATGTGAAATCCATTTTATGCCACTTTACTCATTAATACGAATTACGATATGTTTCAATCCGCTGTTTGTGAAGTGGATCAGTACCCATTTAATTCTTGAGCATTTTTTTTTATGGTCTCA